AACATTATGCTAAATTAAATAAGATGAGCACAAAAAGAACAATACTGCATGATCTCTCTTATATGTGGAGCTTAAAAAGAAGGAAAATTTAGATGTGAACTATGGATTTGATAATATAAAGGAATTGGTGTTAGCTTTATTGGGTGGCATTAGAGTACTATGAGAGGCACACATGTGGGTGCCCACAATGTCCTGATAAAATATTGGTGCTGAGTATGTGCTCTGGAGCCAGCTGTGTTGCACAACTTAATTTAATCCTATTCCACAACCTACTAGCCATGTGAATTTAGCAAGATGTTTGAACCATATGATCCCTGTGTTCCTTGCTTTTTAAAAGAAACTAATATATCTACTTTTGGCAGTTATTATTATGACAAAAAGAGACACACAAAAAAATAGTCTTTAGTGCAGTGCCTGGAACATAGTAAGCATGCAACAAGTTTACTTCCCCTTATTAGATTGTGTTTCACATTGTTAGTATTGTCATGAGCAGTGAGAACACATGAAGAAGAAAATAGAAACAATGCAGGAAAACTAACAAGAGTACTCCTGGGAGCACACACATACAAACTAGCACACTCAATTCTACTTTTTAAGTTATAGTTATAGGTCCTTGTCTAGTGCCTGACACAGAAACATTCTGAACAACATTAACCATAGCCATACTTAATCCAGTTGTGTAACTGTCCAAACAGTGATGGACAGTTGTTTAACTGTCCATCCACTCTAGTCTTTTGATGCCCATTTGATAGAGCATAAATACAAGGACTGCAGACCATGAACTTAGTTTATAACTGGGAATTACTCAGGGAAGAAAGTTGTAGTTCCCAGTCCACCGCTGCAAAGAAATGGAGGGTTGAGCTTTTCATTCACTCATTCTTTCTCTCCAAATCCAAGTTCCAGTCAAACCCACTTAAACAGCCAATACTCACCTAATATTGAGGATTAGGCCAAAGGGAAAGAAGGAAAAATATGGTGCAGACTCACAGAAAATCTTCAAGGGCAAATAAGCCAACCAAGGAAATGAGTGGAAGGAAAGGAACTGGTAGAAAGGTTTCTTCCTCCGGCATTTATTTTCTCTGGTCACTGCTCAATCAGGGAAGGAGATCATCAAAACTCAGGGGGTGCAGGTTCTCTCTCTTCTCACCCTCAAGGGAAGAAAATGAAGAAGTTCTATTAACCCACACCACTGCTTCAAGGTTAAAGATGCTTTTTCTTTATTTATTTTGCAATTGCCTTTGTATGTAAACTGATATGCATGTGGGTGGAAGGTCATATATGTATGTGCCTATCTATTACCTAGGTTTCAAGTTCATGTCCTCACCAGAGAAAGTACCTTGACAAGTTACTTAATCTCCATGTAAAGGCAACACTATTAGTAGTAATATTAGTACTTACTCCTCAAGATTGAATATTGCATAGAAATTACAGATTAAGGTCATATATGTGAAAATATCTAGAGGCAAATGCAGAGTGGCAAACTCATAATATAGATTGATACGCCAGGGCACTGGTTAAAATGAAAACTATAAGGCCCACTTCAAAGTATTCTAAGCTATTTCTCAGAGAGGATGTTCTCTAAATTCTATTTAGAAGCAGTACAATAAATTTGTGCACACTTTATTTTTCTCTGGGTGACCAGGATATATGTGGGTGTGAGCAGAAAAGTTGGAAGGCAGGAAAGTCCGTTGGAACTAACTCTATTGGGGCAGAAGTAAAACAAGTCTTGGGCACTGCTTCTTTTAAAGGACTGTCTGAGGCTGCTCCTGATGGACACTGAATAGTGACTTTTTCGAAATGTCTTTGGCCAAATGCTCCCTTTTGGCTTAAAAACTCTCCTGTCTGCCTTACCTGTTCCTTTCAATGCCTTACTACTCATGGATTTTGTTGTAGTTGTTTTGCCAAACTCTATGGCTGTTTCCTCTTAAATATCTTCTAAATCAATGCTTTCTCTGTTTCCATTGCACAGCTACCTTCATTTCTTGCCTAACTTACTCTGATCACTTCTTACAAGATCATCTTATTTCCATTTTTTGTCTTCCTCAATGTATTTTTGGCACTGCAGACAGAAGTTCTTTCTCAAGTAAATATCTGATTGTTGTTTCTTAGCTTAAATCTAATTTTGTTCCCACCTCAGACTTTTAGCATTTGCTATTTCTTCTACCTTTATTTATCTTCATCTAGATCTTTGAGTGATTGCTACATTTCTACTATTAGAGATAAAACTAAAATTAAAACCTCATTATACATTTTCCATTAGTAAAAATGATATAAGTAAACAAAATATATTCCTTCAAAAAGAAAGAACTCCCTGTTGGTACTGTTAAGAATTTCTGGAGATTCAAATCTTACTTTTCCCCTAAGAAGCTTTTATCCCACAAATCAAACAGCCAACTCAACTTCCCTGAATGTGGTAACTCCTGTGTCTAAGGCTGTTGTGTCCACAAAAATTTTCACTCATAACCCTAAGAGGTAGGCTCCACAGCTGCTGATATTTTTTGCTTCTGCCTCATCCATAGGCAATTTACTTCTAAGTGGAAAGAATAATATGAATAACTCGATTTTCAATGGCCACCTCTTTATGCCAAATATTTCAAGACCCATAATTTATTTAAAATGCCTACTTGCCAGGAGCGGTGGCACACATCTCTAAGCCCAGCAGCTTGGGAAGCTGAGGCAGCAGGATCACAAGTTCAAGGCCGGCTTCTGCAACTTAGAGAGGCCCTAAGCAACTTAGCAAGACCCTATCACAAAATAAAAAGGACTGAGGATGTAGCTCAGTGGTTAAGCACCCCTGGGTTCAATCCCTGGGGGTGGGGGAAATGCCTATTAAGTGCACACCACTGTTTTGCTTAGTATAAAATCTAAGTTTTTTTTTTTTGTTGTTGTTGTTGTTTTTTGGCCAGGGGGACAATCATTTTTATTGGAAGAGCGGGCAGGCTTTAAGACACGGAAATTTACAATTCTTACCTTTGCTATACTTTCTGCCTCTTATGAAATAATTTATCTTTCTTTGTCCATTGCATGGAAAAGAAATTGTCCTGGGTAATTTATGTGAATTTTACATGAACACCTAGTACATGGATTTAATGTTGTTATAAGAACCCTAGTCTAATAGAAATTATTTTATGGTGAATTATTCCCTTTGAACTGAAATAGAAATATGCTCTGATGCCTAGCCTTCTTGATCTATGATTTACATGTTTAAATTGTGAATTTGTCTGCATTGGTAGCTCAGTGGTAGAGCATTTGCCTAGTAATATGAAAGGCCCTGAGTTTGATCCCCAACTCTGCAAAAAAAAAAAAAAAAAAAAAAAATTAAAGATATATCTTCTACCCTTCATCTCACTTAAAAAAAAAAAAAAGTATTATTTCACACATAAATGTCACAGTTCTATTAGCCTGATCTAAGAGTGATGCCTTAATGTTCAGCTGCTATCTGGTTTTCATGAATGAGTTCAAATTAAATATTTCAAAATGGAAGTTTCCACAATTCAGTTACTTACATGTAAATCTTGTCATTGTTTTTTAAGGATTAACTGAGTATATGATTAAGATGGTAAATTTTTGTATCTATTTTAATATTTTATACATGTTAATTGTGACTCTTGTCTAGTCATTTGAACTCCCATTGAGTTATTTTTAACCACACAGAGTCTGTTATTTTACCAGAACTCAGTCCCACAGACACTTAATCTAATAGTTCATTTCTAATTGAAGCTGAGTTTGTCTTTCCTTCAGGCTGGTAGAAAGGATAGATTTTTCTTGGGCACAAGAAGCTGCCCAGCCTCCCAACAAGGAAATCAAAATGAAAGGGCAGGTTAGGGTGGCTGCTGAACCCATGTGCCACATCAATCAGCTGTAGCAAAGCAATAGATTTATGAGTAACATTTTAAAATACAAAATTGGACTTTGTTGCCATTTTGCCTACAATCTCCAGGGTTTCCATTTATTCTTAGACTACTAAAAAAAAACTCCTTAAAATGATCTGAATTTTTCCATGGTCTACAATCTTACCTTTGCTGTTATCTCTTCCTAAACCAGTTACTCTAATGGGCAAGCCTTTTTCTCAGCTCTGTGTCTTTACATGCACTAATTCCTCTTTCTGAATCATCCCTCTCCCACTCTGCCAAATTAAATATACTGGATTTGAAGAGATAGTCATATATATATATATATATATATATATATATATATATATATATATTTTTTTTTTTTTTTTTTTTAACTTGGGACTACATTTCTATTGAAGTTCAAACTTGAAAAAGGGATTTGGGACCACCAAGGCTTCCAAGTGGTCCAGTCTTCAACACTCATTTTAGTTTGAGCATGTTTTTCCATCTCAGAGGCCATGGGAATTTAGCTTCTTCCTTTTATTTTTATTTATTTTTCTTTCATACTGAGTGAAAAATTAGTTTCATGTTTTAGCATTGTTTTCTTCCTTTGCCTAAGGAAAAAAAATGTGTATTCTTAGTTTAATAATTTGATGATTATTTGCCATTTATTTGATAAACATTGCTTATGCACTTAGTATGTGCCAGGATATACATGGGATGCTGAATGGAAATGAAATCCAGGTCCTGACAGAGACACCACAGCCATAACTCCCTACCCTACTATGATTATAAAGAAACTAATATGATCCTTAAATCTGAAAAAAAAAAATTTGATTCCTTAGAGACATCTTTACTATGAAAGTACAATGCTAGTTATTTTATTGTTTCATGAAAACTTTTATATTACCTTATAATAACCATAAGAAATTGCAAAGATTTTTTTTCACAAGTAAAATAAATATTTATTATTTTCTAGATTCACAATTTATTTTCCTATATCTGGAATGACTGAACAGACTTCTGCCTAAAACAACAAAGGAAATATAAGTTCTGATTAATAAGGAATTTTTTCATGTGTTCTTTCTCTGAAGTCGCTGGCTACAGGTTTAGTCTTTGACCTAACATACTTAGGAACTTTCCCCTGATCCCCCAGGAAACAAGCATCTATAACTGGGACCTCTTGGGAAAAAGCAGAAGAATGACTTTGTCCCGGATCTGCTTGGTCTTTACTCCATAGACAATAGGGTTGAGTGCAGGTGGAATAATCACGTAGAGGTTGGCAAACATGATATGAAAGGTACGAGGGACATTATGTCCAAAGCGATGGGCAAGGATGGAGAAGAATGCTGGAATATAGAACATGAGGATGACACAGATATGGGACCCACAGGTGCCAAGGGCCTTCTGGCATGCATCTCGGGAGGGAAGGCGAAAAACAGCACCGAGGATGAGGGTGTAGGAGACAGCAATTAGGATCACGTCTATAATCACTGTCATGATGGGGACAGAAAAACCATACCAGATGTTGATGGAGATGTCTGCACAGGCAAGCCGGGCAACACCTATGTGCTCACAGTATGTGTGAGCAATGATGTGTGTCTTACAGAAAGGTAGGCGATTCACCAGGAAAACACATGGGACAAAAACACAGAAACTCCGTAAAGAGATTCCCACAGCAATTTTGACAATGGCTTTGGGGGTTAGAATAGTGGTGTATCTCAAAGGAGAGCAGATGGCTACATAGCGGTCAAATGCCATAGCCAGCAGTATAGCTGAGTCTAGGACAAAAGTGTAGTGCAAAAAGAATAATTGGGTGAGACAGCCAGGAAAACTGATTTTCTGTGGACCAAACCAGAAGATGCTAAGGGTTTTGGGAACACACGTGGTAGACAATATGAGATCTGTCAAGGCCAGCATAGAAAGGAAAAAGAACATGGGTGTGTGAAGACTGTGCTCCACCACAATGAGATAGACAAGAATACTATTGCACACGATGGCCACAAAATAAATAAAGCAGAAGGGGATGCTGATCCAGACGTGGTACTGCTCAAGTCCAGGGATGCCTGAAAGGGTGAAGGGGCCTGTGTTGTAGCTACTCAGGTTGTACATGGCTGTTGAAATCCAATGCATAACTTCTGTGTCCTAAAAATGAATTGTTATAATGAAGATGAGAAAATTGTATGGTTATTCTTTCTCCATCTCTTCCTCAGGTTCAGTTCTCCTCTTTCCTATATTTGAAGAAAGAAATTCCATTGTTTTTAAGAATAGTGCTCATCACTTTAAGAAATAATCCTTAGACCCCAGTACTCCTGGCCTTCATCAACAAGTTCCTCTGGAACCTTAAAATTCATAAAATGCTATTCCCACTTTAATTAATAAGTTTACCCTAAGTCAATATATTCTGTGTTGCTGTACAGGTATGTGTGGTGAGAAAAATAATCTAACTACATGCAAGAATACAAACTAAAGGAATGGGTCACAATTGGGAAAATAAGGTCATTATCAATTATAGACTCCTGCTATACACCAGGTTCTTACACAAATATTATCTTTCTTAGAACAGCCTTTGGGAACATGGATTTTTAACCCCTTCTTTTTTTAAAATTTTTTATAGAAACTGAAATTTTGAGAATTAATCTGACCAAAAATGATCTCATCTTTAGTAACTTGCAGCATCTAGATCATTAGTTTCCACAGCCAACACCTTTCAGGCCACTGTCTCATGCCAGGTGACACTTTTACATATTGTCAGAGGCCTAGAATTCACAAAGGGCATGGGAATGTAGAGAAGAGTGTGAAGTCCATCACTGGAACCACAATTTGTCCAGCACACCAATGCTACCCACGTTTTAATGACTGTCTTGAAAGTCCTTAGGACTAGCAGTCTGGAATGTCCTCTTAGACTGTCATGTTTAATCCCTCACATGGAGAATGTTACCAGAAAAGATGTGAGGCTCAATCTCCAGTCCACCCTAAGGAAAGAAGGAGGAAATCTTGTGTAAGAATTAAGAAAAAATCAGTTCTATTGTGCTTTTTATAATACAGAGGTGACCTCTAGTGGAAAAAAAATAGAATTTATATATTCTGAATTCTGGATCATGATAAAAGCAAATAAGCAAACTTTAGAACAAGGACTGATACTTTTTAAGAACTTTGGATGTACAACAAAAATTGAAAAATCTTCATATGAAATCAATTTTTAATACTATTAACAATCCTATGAGATAGGTATTAATATTATCTACTCTTCCTGAATGCAGAAAATGAAGAAGAGAGAAGGAACTTGTGTCAATAGCCACACAAGAAGGAAATGATAAACTGGGCTTGGTGTCACACACCTATAATCCCAGAGATTCTGGAGTATGAAGCAGGGGCATCAAAGATTGGAGGCCAGCTTGGGTAACTCAGTAACAGCCTGACTCAAAATAAAAAGTAAAAAGTGCCGGAGATATAGCTCAGTGTTGGATTACGTCTGGATTCAATTCCCAGTACCACAAAAATAAAAGGGAAGAATGAAATGATAAATCTGAATCAAACTCAAGGAGACTTTTCCTAAATTCCCATATATAACACCAAACTTCTCTATAGAACCAGTAGACTATAGAGAGTGTATATGATATCAGTCTTACAAAAGACCCAAAACTAACCCATGTAAAGTTAGTAAATTAAAAGTCTAAAACAAGTTAACATCATAAAATCAAACTTATAATAAATATAGATTACTTAAACTCCCCTATTAAAAAAGCAGAGCTATTTTTAAAAAATACAATTATATGTTGCTCATGTAAAACCTAAAACAAAATGACCCAGAAAGGATAAATTATAAGGAAAACATATAATTTTTTTTAAAGAGAGAGAGAGAGAGAGAGAGAGAGAGAGAATTTTAATATTTATTTTTTAGTTTTTTCGGCGGACACAACATCTTTGTTTGTATGTGGTGCTGAGGATCGAACCCAGGCCTCACGCATGCCAGGCTAGCGCGCTACCGCTTGAGCCACATCCCCAGCTCCAGGAAAACATATAATTCAGACAAATTTAAATGTAAAGGAAGAAAACTTACCAAAATGGAAATCAGAAAAGGTAAAATTTCATTCATAAAGCATTAAGTATAATATAAGGAATACTCCCTGATGAAGATGTAAGTCATGCCAGTGGCAGACAATTCTTCTTAGAACTCTTATTTGAGATAGCTGTTTCCTAGCAACTTCATTTGCTCACTTTTTCCTATGTTTTAATGATCTTCCACAATTCTCCTTAAAATTCTTTTTAATTGTTTAAGACATGTCTAGACATTAACTGGAGTAAGTTTGGTATTCCTGTGTGGCTCACCTACCCAAAATGTTGTTCTCACAGGATGGTTTTATATGCTATTGAAGTATAGTCACCCAATTCCAATGTCACACCATAACTCAGTACCATTTATCAGCCCCATAAATAAAACATTAAGACATTCCACTTTGAATCTGCTCAGTAATGTGATTCAGTTATCAAAAATTTGGTCTTTGAAAACCTCTAAGATATTGACTTTCTCACTTCTACTCATTTAGACTCTAGGCATCTTTGCATTCTTCTCTAACCAGGTGAAATTCTGATTCATCATTTCAATTACTCTCTTACCAATATTTTGCTTGCCCTTGCTCCACTGACCTTCCATCATGTATGTGTCGCAAAACTCGATTCCTAGATTAATTAACCTAGTAATTTCTCTAGGTCATGGAAAACAAACTTGCTAACTTTTTAAGGAGGCCTATTTGCATCCCCATAACTTCATGACAATTAACCTTCAACTTCACTCTTGATGCTGCCCAATGATCCATCCATGTTCGAATCCATCTCCTCCATAACTTTTTTCTCTACTTTCCTCAATCCCATCTCCATCCAACTTCCCCATCTCCCTCCAACTACATCTTTAGACAGCAACCTTTCATTTTATTTCAAAGAGAAATTAGAAGTCAGTAGATATGAAATCATGTATGACTAAGGCCTCACATTTGTATTGGCATCTTTTCTCTACCCTTATTTTCTTGTTATAGTTGGGAAAAAATGCCCCTTTCATATCTGAGGCCAAAATCAAATCTGTACCTTCTATCTCAAGCTTTCCCTCCTTGCCAAGTATCTTTCATTGTCATTCATTCTCCTTCTGTCCTTTGTCTTCAACATAGCCCTTTTAAAATTTGTTCATTTAGCATTTAAACAATTTAAATGTGTGGAAACATTTTCTTCTAGTTTAAACGACGAAAACCAAGGACACTTTCTCATTCATAGGTGGATATGTAGTTGTCTGCATTATTTATCTTTATTTTCTCATCCCCTGCTTATCTGGTTCCCACTAGTCAACTGAAGCTGCTTTCACTCAGGACACCAATGGCATAAGTGCCCCACCTCTTTAGCCTTTGTTTGACTTCTCAGCAGCACTTGACACTATTGATCATCTCTCTCCATCCTGATGCATTCTCTTACCTTGAGGTTGTGTTACAACACTCTGAGGTTTTCTTCAACTTCCCCGGCATCTTTTCTCATCCTTTGCTGTTCTTCCTATTCTGTATCTCTTATATCCTGATATTTCTCAAGGCTTTGCCTGAGTCCCTTTTTATTCTCTCTACACTTTTTCTGATCTATATCATTAGCTCCTAAGTTCCCAATTAATAGTTACAATTGACATGTTCCAATTCTTTACCTCTCATTTAGATCTTGCAAGACACATAGATCCAATGTCTCCCTGGATACCCTCTTTTGGATGTCTCATAAGTACCTGGAGATTATTTTTTCAAAAAATTTAGTACTCATACTTCCTCAAAGCCTGCTTTTTCTGGCTTTGTCCAATATGTAAGAGCATATTAGTATTATCCACTCAATGACCCAAAGCAGAAACTTCAAATTCAACATTTATATCAGCCTGTATTTAAAGGACCCATGTGCAATGAAATATATTGAGCCAATCTTTTTTTTTTAATAAAAATTTTAAATCCTTAACAAAACTAAAAAGGCCTCAAAATCTGTTCTTGCTTCATCTTTTGAGCCATTCCAAAAATGTTTCTAGAAACATCCTGAATTTTCTAGAAATCAATGTTTTAAAAAAATTCCATTAAAAAAGCATTGTGGGACTGGGGTTGTGGCTCAGTGATAGAGTGCTTGCTCAACAAGTGTGAAGCACTGGATTCAATTCTCAACACCACATATAAATAAATAAAATAAAGGTCCGTTGACAACTAAAAAATATTTTTTTAAAAAAAGAACAATTAAAAAAAATAAGCATCATGATAAATTTCCCTATTATTTTATTTCCCACATTCTAAGTATGTAGTTATTTACTCTTACATTTCCACTTAAGTTTTCACTGAGGTGCATATATTTTCTCTGAAATGAACAGAAACGAGGCCACAAATAGAGGAAACCTATGTGATGAAGAATAAGGCCACTGTCCTTCCTTCAGTTTGAGCTATTATACGTAAGGCATTCTGAACTGGGACCCATGCCTTGATTGATCATACACTGAATGCGGCTCCTTCTTAACAATTGTTATTAAAAAAATAAATCTAGGGCTAGGGATGTGGCTCAAGCGGTATCGCGCTCCCCTGGCATGCGTGCGGCCCGGGTTCGATCCTCAGCACCACATACAAAAAAACAAGAACCGCCAAAAACTAAAAAATAAATATTAAAAAATTCTCCCTCTCACTCTCTCTTTAAAAAGTAAAAATAAAAAATAAAATAAATCTAAACACTAGGTGTGTTATTCCAAATATTTGTGAGGTAACACGTGTTCTATTGGAGCCAAAGTCTCCAGACCATGAGGCTATCTGCAGATTTCTCCCCTTGATTTAGAATAATTGTTTCCATTCCTTCTCCTGCTTTAAAGCAAAACTAAGTTCTATGTATCAGTTAAGTCTCAGACAAGACCCCTTTCATTCAGTTTAATGATATTTATATGATACTCCTCTAGGAACAGTTTCTAAATCTCTTTATATTAGAAATTATATCTCCTTTTTTATGAAATTCATCATACTTACAACTAATTGTTTAATATTTATTTTCTTCTGGCTCGACTACAATCTCTTCAAAGTCAAACAGCATGTCACTTTTGTTCATATTTTGTTTTGATAATGTACTCA